GTTCATTTCATCAACTGATTTTGTATGGCTGAAGTTTGTGATGTAATGAATACGGTTGATTCCGTTAAAACTACGATTAACCCATGAAAACCACTAAACACTTAAGCATCAGCATATTTTTCAGTGAGAGATTAGCACTAAATAACTGAATATGCCGGCAATCAATATGGTTCGTTTTATTCTCAGCAGCTGTGAGCAATTAAAGAAAAATTCCGTGTTGTCCTGAAAGCCACGATTGAAAATTCAAATTTTAGATATGACAGATGTCGATCATAATGAGAGATCGTGAATGAGCTTTCCACAACGATGCTTAGGCACCCGCAAGAGTGCTTTTGAACCGTTCTTCTGTTACTCATTTGTGATGCCTATGCATTCATCGAGGAAGGACTAACTGGTCGATGATTAAGTGTTGAACAATTGAGAGGCTTTTAAACAGATACTACTGTGTTGTACTTTTCAGACACTCTGCAAAGGTAAAATCGATTTTGGGCCCTGAAGCTCAGGAACCAGCTGCTCTGATCAAATAAGGAGAAAATTATTTAGACAGAGCTGGTTAAGCATAATCTGGAGATTGGGTTTTGAAACATGCTTGTCAGCAGAGGAGCTCCTTCGGTTGTGTCGATCGTTTACATGCTCAGCCGTGTTTTGCTTACCCACTTTCGATGCCCCACATCTTCAAGAAGAGTGCTTCTCAACGTTCGGCTGATAGTACAACAGGGGGCAATAGAACAACAGGAAATCATTCGGCTGTCCACTTTACAGCTTCATTTTGGAATCGAGAATTGTCGTTGAAACTTCTCTCATTAACTGTTACTTTTGCACGCAATTTACCAGACTTTATTTGCTTGATGCAACGAACCAAATGGTGACGAGTCATTGGATACAAGCAGTGCAGAAAATGGACGCATAGTTATGTTCAGGTGTAGAAATGACATGATTTGTGTGGCAAACGGCCGTCCTTTCTGATGTACGCGCTTGACGACCAGGATTAGCCCTTTCTCTCCTGACAACTGACGAAGAATGCATTAATTATAACTGCAAAAAAATTGGCCTCACGATGCTTCTAATTATTGTTGCTATTTTGATATACCCGTTTGTGATCGAACATATTTTTATTTTACCAAGCAATAGCTGCGGTTTTGCGCTTTTGCGCCTGTACGATAGTTCGGTTTTGCTACTAGAGGCAAGGGAGCCATAGGACTATGCGGTTCGAATCCGGAGCACTGAGAGGGCATTGTTGTCATTTGAGGGGCGAGTTTATTTCTTCGTTGCAAATTCGTCAACATCACTCAAAGAGAAATCCTAACCACTTTCTGAGTTTTGATGATTTGACTCTGAGTCACTGGAAGTTATATTTTTTAAATCACTTCACGTGAAGAATCAATTAATTTGTCGCTAGTAGTCGTGTGTGCCGAACGATCTCTTTCAGAAAAGATCATGTTTCACTTAAGCTAGATCAGTGACTTAGACCGGCGATGGAATGGAATGGTGCTAAGTCAAATCCAGTGCCAAAACAAAACTAAACTCCATATTCGTATGTAGTAGCATGGTTTTATGCAAATTGCGTGAAATCACTTAATACGTGGCGTATTATGGTTATACTTGCAGGTATGCGAACGCCATCGCAATTTTCTGGCTTTCTTCCGTACTGGCCACTGACGAGATTCGAGAACCTGAACCAACGGTGCGCTAAGCTTGTCACTACATGTTGTATATGTACTTCAGTTTAGTGCCCTTGCGTCCGACGGCCCGAAAGTCATGACTGCATCTCATACGACAACCGCTACCAGGCGTCGACCTTGGAGGAGGCCGTCATGAACTTCCCAGATCTGACGCTGATGCACATGCCGATGATGAAGATGAACGAAGAACCCACTGCTTCAATGTCGACCACAGAGGTTGCAGTCGTGAAATTCACTCGCATACGTTTGGCTGTGTTTAAGCAACAGTTTTGTATAGGAGCCGGAAGCAACTCCAAGAATTGCCACCACCGAAAGGCCAAAAGACAGCGCTGGCTATCGCTGCACGCAAAAGACGTGCCTCCACTGCACTCACATGCTCACAACGAGGCTAAAATCAGCGGGCATGCTGACCGACGATGAGTTCGACCAAGTGAGGAGACGCTTGGGGATACCACACATGACAGAGTCTAGAGAGTGCAGACGATATCGCTTCTCAACGCCCTATGTACCAGAATTGCGCGAAAGTGGTGACTTTCAAGACGAAGGTATAGGACGACGTGTCAAGCATGTCATGAAAACGTTCTCGAGCATGGGTCTCGAAAAATGGAACAGATTTCATAGTTGGCGAACAAAACGGGCACTGAATTCAACCTCACAGATAGGTATGCCTTTTCATTTTCCTCTGCCTTTTTAAAGGAACAGTAAAGTTGTGGTCATAATCAGTTTGATAATGAGTGGTTCAGGGTACAAAGAAAGGACAATGTTAACTATATAATAGATAAACCTTACAGTCTCAAATAAGTTAAAATTATGAAGGGCCATTTCTACGCTTTAAAAATTATAAAAATAATTCTGATGAGCTTTAGGTTTTCAGATTAATCGATAAAGAAATTGTTCCAGAAAACAATAATTAATTCTCAAAATACAGCCGCAGAAACTTGAAATAATGAACATAAGTTTTCAGCTGTTGAGTTGATTACGCAAAAAACTCATCACAGTGTGCTCCCGTGTAACCCATCGGCCAACAGGTAGCAATACGTTAACCTGTGAGTAGTCTGGACAGCACGATGTTCTGGTCTGTCATATCAGAATAGGCGAGACCAAGGATGACCCTTCTCCGATGCATGAACCCTAAGGCTGCAATGCGACTTGGCCTCTCTGATAGCTGGCAAAGTCAGGCAGTTATCATTCCTAAATTGAAGAAATATGCCATCCAAAACGGTTGAGTCAAGTGACAAAAACAAAGGAGCAAAAAACGTTTAATTGGTTGCCAAAAATAAACCCCAGTATTGTGTGCCTGCTAGCAAACCGTGATGCTCAAATTATAAAATGTTGCCTCCTTCATTTTCTGCTCATTCTGTAGTTTTCCTGTGTTTCATCTAGAAAAGGTCTGAAACTCCGGGAGCTTGCAGAAAACAGAGTACTCCACAGCGTCTATTCCATCGTTTTTCACCCTCCTCCACTTCTCTAGAAGTTTTCGTGTTTGAAATGCATCTTTTCGTTCTCATTTATATTGCCACCTGATCTTCATAACGTCTCAGTTTCTCGGCAAACTTCTCTTACTGATTTCGCGATTGCTTTGGATGCTCCAACGTTTTCCGGAAATGGCGTCCTCATCGAATACCTTCTGTCGTTCTGTGCGATTGGTCATCTGCGGTGCCTTCCTCTCGATACTCTCCTCGAAGGCTAACCTTAACCTGGCCCATACCAGTCTGTGGTCACTGCCAATGTTAAATGATGGCATTACAGCCACGTCACTGATCATCGAACACAAAGAAGTACATCTCGCCAGTCGAGGCGTTGGCGCAATCAATACCCACCTCACCAGGTATTCCGTCTTTGCCATGGTCAAGAGCCGACATTCTCGATTATTTTTCCATCCGGTAATGTACACACCTACGGAAGTTTCACGGTCGTCGTCTGACTTTGCTCCCAAAATCTCCCATTACCAAAGTATCTGTTGACTTTGCGACCAATACCTGCCCCGGTTCTTGATGGAGTTCAATTTCCTCGTCTTGCGTCAGTTGTTTTGGGAGCGTAGGTTTGGGTGATCTTCAAGTTCCGTTCTTGTTTCAGTTAGTGACACAGCGCACCCCGTCTTAGTGACTTCACATGCCAGGAAATGATTTGGGGTTCAGACAGATTGGCATGCTCGTCAAAGCACTATCGTTTTGTTACCAATGAAACCACTGCATTTTACTTATGATAGTTGTATGTGTACTACAGAAAGGGGTCAAGATTGAACATGACCGTTCGAAATTGGTGATGCCTCACAAACCACCAATTCGGTACATTAGCCGCAAAAATAAGTACTATTCAATATTCATTTAGTTATTAAGTTTTACTGTCGAATACAGTGCGTGTTTCAGGAACAGAATACAAAATTGACTGTATAAAGAGAGGACAACCGTTGGATCACGGTTCTGACTGGCTGGGTTTGTGTAATTTTTGTTGGTCATGGAGGAAGTTGCCAAAAAACTTCTTTCCTCAGTTTGTGAACGAACTCGTCTGTGATGCAGACACGAAGTGTCTATCAGGTATGATGCATTGAGTAACTGTACTCGGCATTATTCGCCAGAGCAAATGTTTCAGGATGGGGCATGTGTCGACAGAGGCACAAAAGTATCGAAGTGCTTCAGAACCTTGGAACAAAAGAGAAGCCAAATTACAAGCCGCTTACCATCCATTCACCAAACCTTTGTGACTGCTATGTGAAATTCGGGTCGGCAATGCACGCCTTTATATCTGCTTAAAACGTGGTCACCAGAGAAATGATTTTCTTCATGTGTCGTATCAACCACTAGGAACGTTAAGCATTCAAATATTTTTTAATATTCCCTTTGCTGTGCAGTCTTTTGACTCTGAAGAACTGAAAATACACCAGTAGAAAGTACGTTCAATTTATTTCCAACCTCCTATATTTAAAAATATACTGAAAAACCTGTCAACATCGAAAAGTTGTAATCTACCCACGGTCGTCAGTATGTTATTTACTTCGTAAGAATGTTTTCTGATGTAAACGAGGTTCTAGAAATGAACCTCTGTTTAACTGTTAGTTTGCCTAGGCGGAAAATGCTGTAAAATGCCGAAGACCATTCTCGCAACTGAGAGATTATCGTTTAGATCATTTACATGTCACTGAGCCTTCGAGAGGCATGTACTCACAGTGTTAACCTCTTAGCGATAAATGTTTACACCATCATGAATGCTGCTCGCAAGCTACACACTACGCAACCCAGCATGGGAATAAGACGATAAATTTCTGCGAAGAACGAATTGGTGAGAGTACAAACAGCAGTCAGTGATGTTATTGCCTGAGTGGGGAAGTTGGAGTAGCAAAGAGCAGGAAACGCTGCAAGAAGAACCGACCATCGTTGGACCAGAGAGACATTAAAGTAGGTTGCAAGAGGGGAGAGGAGGGGGGTGAATGACCCGTATGAAAAACTCCGGGTAGGCTAAAGCGAAAAAGTTCGTTGTATCAAGATGGATAAGAATTGCAGGAAGCAAAAGCCAAAGTATGGCAAAGTCTTGGGCAGGCGTTTATGCAGCACTGAATCAGAAAAGGATAACGATGACCATATACGTAATCGAAATGGCAGAATGGAATCCCGTTAAACAGATTTTTCGAAAGGTCACATATAAGGAGGGTTCTATGTATCAAACCTATATCGGTAGTTTATGTTCAAAGATATCGTAGTGGTTCGAAGCTGGACGCGATTTGCTTAGCTCGTAAAAATTTTCAGAAAATTTGGTAGCGGAACGATTCATACGGAACCGTGCAAGTTAGAATGAAATTAACCATGCTTCCGGTACCACATGGATAGAGACGACTTTCTCGAACGTCTATGGTTGCCTTACAGGAGGAAGCCTGTCACCGTTATCTTCAATTGCTTTCGGAAGTTTGGAGGAACTTCAACTGTCAGGTTCAAAAACAGGTTAAAAAATATATCTACTCATATTGAATTGTTTCATGGAAGGACTGATGCACAATTGAAACTTTAGAACTCTCATTAATTATTTGATGAATATATCGATGAC